CCTTTCTTTCTCTTATCATTTTCCTCATTTAGATTTAGTCTCATTAATTCCATTTCATGTTCTTGAAGTTTTCTAAACAATGAGGCAAGAGACATGGTTGTCAGATCTTTTGATTCAGCAATTGCAATCACTTTCGGTTGTCATTCCCTACTCAAACATCTCAAAACTTTGTTAATAATATCTTCATTAGGAAACACTTTTCCTAGAGATGCAAGATGATTAACTATATGAGTAAATCTCTTTTGCATGTCTTGTATCCTTTCATTTTGATTCATTCTAAATAATTCATATTCATGAGTGAGAGTGTTTATCCTAGATCTTTTCACATCATTAGTACCTTCATGTGTTACTTCAAGTGTATCCCACATTTCTTTAGCACTTTTACAATTTGAAATTCTAAAATATTCATCAATTCCTAAAGCAGAAGTGATTATATTTTTGGCTTTTAAGTTATATTGAACCTTTCTTCTATCATCTTCACTCCATTGATCTTTGGGCAAATTTTTTATTTCATGACCAACTACAATAGTGGGAATGAAAGGACCAATTTCAATAGCATCCCATATGTTTAAGTCTATGGCTTCTATAAAAATTTGCATCCTAGATTTCCAATAATGATACCCTTCCCCATTGAATATAGGAGGTCTATTAATAGAGTTTCCTTCAGGAAATAACAAATTTGACGAGGCCATTTCAAATCTTGATGCTTTTAAGCCTTATACAAGAAACCTGCTCTGATACCAAATGTGGAAGAATGTATGTAAAGGATTTTGATGATGCCAAAGAAATTGTAGAAAACAAGAGGTCAAGTTAAAGTAAGGTGATCAAGAAATAAAAATCTCAAAGTATTTTAGATAAGTCTTGTCAACCTAGTTTTATATGTAAAATGGAATCTTTAGAAATATTGCATAAGATTATTGGCCATTTAAAATAAAGAATTTCAAGAAAACCCAAATATAATCTTTAATATTAATAAGGTTTTGAAAATAAAGGTTTTCTATATTTTAAGTTTTAATAAGGTAATTATTATTTTTAACAGTCTGGTAATCGATTACCAGTACATGTAATCGATTATCAGAGAATGAAACTCATATGATTCAAAATTTACTTATTAAAACGTGCTCTGGTAATCGATTACCAGTTCTATGTAATCGATTACCAGAAGATAAAAATTTTGAAATTTAAATTTAAATTTTACAACGTTTCAAACATTTTGAAATTAAACCAATGTAATTGATTACCAAGTCTTGTAATCGATTACCAGAGCCTATTTTCTGGAAAATTTTAGAAAGTCACAACTCTTCATGAAAAGTCATGACCTATGAAACAATCATCTATAAATACCAATAATTTTTTAGAAAATGGTTACGAACTCAGTTGTGAAAAATTATCTTTACAATCACTTGGCCAAAATCATTTGCAAATATTATCTAAAGAGTTCTACTAGATCAACAAAGTGTAAAATCCACTCTTCAAAGAGAGTTGTTCTACTTCATTCATCTCATCTATTGATTTGTAAAGGAGAAAGTGTTGTTCTCCTTGTTGGTCTGTGATTCTCAACACGAGGAAAGGGAATTCCTAGGTGTTGGAGAATTTGAGTCTTGTAAAAGTTACAAGCATAGTGAAAAATCTCAAGTGGGAGACTTGAGGACTGGATGTAGGCAAGGTTGGCCGAACCAGTATAAAATCAAGTTTGCAATTCTCTATCCCTATACTTTTAATTTTGTTGTGAAGTTTTTGCATCATTACGTACAAATTGTTTATGATATTGATTTTATAAGAAAGAAGTTAGAAAAACTAATAAAGAGAAGAAAAATTAGATAACTTAATTCACCCCCCTCTTAAGTTACACGAGGCTACTTGTCCAACAATTGGTATCAGAGTCAAGGTCATGAGTTCGATACCCAGCGAGGCAATTGCTAAGGGGGAGATTGTTGCAGGTTGCATCAATTGTCCCATGACGGAGGCTAGGTGGGCCAAGTCACTGTCGAATCATGGCGCTTGGGCTATTGTGTTCTTAAGTAAAAAGAGTTGCGCCCTGACTATCAGCTATAGCTTTTGGCCTAGTGGTAAGCGCTCGATCCAACATTACGAATTTTTAAATAAAAAATAAATAAATTATTCCAAATTTATTAATTATATAATATATATTATTTAAAAAATCAAACATGGATAAATACATTTTTTGAATTTTAAATATGTTTGATTTAAGATAACTTACAAAATAACTCTTGGTAAAGTTATTGCGCTCAATAACTCATGGTGTTTGTTGAATTTCATCGATCCAATTAATTGTTAAATTAAAAGTTATTAAATTTTACTAATAATTAATATAAAAAAATTAATTAGTTTTGGAATAAATTATTTGCTAATTAACAATATAATTGAAATATTAATTATTTTAAATTATTTAACTAAAATCTTATTGACAATTTACTATATGATCTTAATATTTTTGTATAACTAATATCTGGTTTTAAATTTAAAATACCCTGAATAATTCTGGATAAACAGGGTTCTTCATAGACATAAAATCCACCAACCTAGAATTTTTAAAAATCGTATAACACTCAAATGATTCACCCTCAAAAAAATCAATACTGATATACTTGGGATCAACAATATTTCGCTCAGAAAATAACTGGTAGTACCTATCTCGTTGTTCGT